AGCTCCAATTTGAGTAAAACTTGAAACCTAAATTCATCTAAATTCATAAGCTTTCCAATGATATATAATTCACTATTTGATAAAATATATTTATAAATATTAAATAATTAATATCAAGATGATGCATAATAGTCAACTTAAAAATATGTTAATAAATAAAATTAGTATTGTACAGTAGAGTAGATGTAATAATATTTGTCTCTAACATGTCTTGCCACTGTAACAACCACACAAACTAATTTTATGTGATGTATCAAATGAATGGATGTATAGGAAAATACTAATACTTATTTAATATTCGATGGCCATATAATTAAATCCATGGCTTATAGGTTGTTTAAATCAAGTATAGCCTTATGATTATGTAACTAAAATATAAACACACATAGATGAATCTTTAACCTGTTTAGGAGAATCATAACAGAGCTAGATGTGGAGGAATCACTAAGTAAATTAATCGATGCAATACCATATAGAGTAGCATATATACGCCTAAATTGATTACCACTTATTAGTAACCCAATAGAACCAGTGCCTAAACTTGTCGCATCACATATACAATATCACTCATAGAAACTAGCTAATGTATAATTAAACTACAATATATTTAGGAATCACTTGGAGCATTGGGTAGTACACTTTCTAAATAAGCTCATGTACAGTAGGCGACCAAAACCTTATACGTTGTTGCACACATATATTGTACATCCCATTATAGTTATACAATTAATTTATCTTTTTCATATATTAAACTGGGGAGTATATAACAAACATGAATAGTAGATAAGTGCTAATTATAAATCTTGACCTCATATGTTCATAGTTCAATTGTAACTCCGGATTGTTCATTAAGAGATAATCTGTAACTATAATATTATAAACCTCCCGAATTTAACATATAGAGCATGGATAATTATTAACCTTTTATAATTTATTGTGACAAGTAAAATATGTTCATAATTAAAGTAAAGCTTCCATCAATAAAATAAATAATACAAATGATTCACTGTAATTATTTGATTGATCCTAAATCCATCCGACAACAGAACCTCTAGTATATGACCATTTTATTTAGATAGATGCATGTGTAGCCATAATCCTTCCATAGCCATTAGCTAGACTAAACCACAAATTAGCCAGATACGTATCTCATTCATACTACATTGGCTAGCTCCTAGATAGACCACCATGACAACAGAAAGATTAAGAAACCTTAGCCCCTAGCGTGATTGGAATCCATTAGCAGACATGAATAGTATATTTTGTTGTGCATATTTGGTTGTTATTTGAATATTGGTTTTTCTTGCGTGTTATAGAATTTATGTATCGGTTAGTCGTGAGGCAACGTCAGCAACCTCCAGGAGGTGAAGGTTGATCAAGAATTATATTAAGAATAAGGACTATCCTGAGCAAGGCAAGTCATCACTATTCCTTGAACATGTTGATCCCAATTGCGAAATTGTTTTGTTTACAAATAAAATTGCATGCAATGATGAACATCCTACTTGTGATTATACCATGTCTTGATTATTGTTTACCCTTAAATCTTTGTAACCATGTTTACATATGAGTCCCTAGTCAACTATGACAATTGCTTAGAAATGCTATTCTAGAATCATGCATACTCATATTTATCAAATGCTATATGCTTGGGCAATTACCTTTGGGAAGGTAATTGAGATGCGGCATGTGGAGACATGAGCGCCACATTGCCATGATGTTGATGACATGATTTGTGAAAGGAGAAATAAAATTAAACAACTGTTTTCGACTGGGGCGGACGGAGGATTTGGGTGGTATCTGGAAAAGGCTAGTACCGTCCCCGGTTAATTAAGGACCGAGCCATGAAGTTAAGCATGAAACGACCCCCGTACAACCGCACTTCTCGTATGGGTATAGACCTAGCGGATTAGATAGCCGAGCGGAGGCAGTATCCCTGCATAGATGGTTCACCCCTGAGTGAGGCAGGTGCGCTACGGTGGGACAGCCGTTGAGGTAGGGCCGAGAGGCGTGCCCTACATCGGTGTCGCCATTGGTAGGACTGCCATGAGTGTGTGAGAGAGAGAACTTAACTTGAACCCTAATTTAATATGAGTGTGAGACTTCTCTTTCCCGGGAGCGCCAGAACTCCTCTCACTGCTAGAAACATGGACGCCTAGAGTGCATGAGGATTTAAGTTCATGGATCGGGTACTGCCAATGCGAGGTTATCGAAAAGCTTTGCCGTGACGCGTCTCATGTGTTGGGACGAGGCTCATGTGTTGGGCAGTCGCGGAGTGCGGGTAAAGTGTACATCCACTGCAGTGTGAGTAAACCAAATCTATTCGAATAGCCGTGCTCGCGGTTATTGAGCACCGGGACATGTATTACACTTGGCTAGACTCTAAATTCTTTAACTTGTGTGGGATGGGATATTGCATGATGATTTTTATGCTGATGGAGCCACTTCCTGAGAGGCGGGAATGTGGGCGTCCTCAGAAAACCATGACGATTCAATGGCGGGAAGCTATCCTTGGGATCACAATGGATGGTGGACAGAACCGTCGTTGTTTAAAGTGAACACTGGTACTAAAATTTGATCAGTCGATGCTAGGTTTTAGGCTTGTGAAAAGAATTGTAAAATTAGCTTTATGCAAAAGAACCTGAAGCCATTCCTTGAAATACCCTCTATCATATGCATTGTTGTTGTGGTGGCTTGCTGAGTACGGTTGGTACTCACCCTTGCTATTTATATATCTTTTAGGAGAGTGTTGAAGAGAAGCCCTTGTCGGTTCACTTGCGTATCCCACAAGATGATCGGAGTGCGGTCTTGTTCTAGGTCTCGTTCCCCAGTCGACTGCCTGTGGCATGTTAACCGGGCCCTTATATTATTTTGTCTTCCGCTGTTGTTCTCTGATAGTTGTTGGCCTACCTGGCCCTAATGTAAGTATTTAACTCTTTTAGCCTAAATTCATTCGTGATATGTTGTGATCCAACTATGTATGTGTGTACCAACTACTGATCCAGGGATTGGTACGGATAAACACAAAAGATTTCCGATTTCCAAAATCGGGGGTCTACATTATGTAACTTAATTTCCCGCAGCAACGAGGCGGGGTATTCATCTAGTATTCATTAGTTCAGATCACTGGTGGAGAAATGGTTTGTAGTCCCGGTTGGTAACCTCCTGTTCCTACCAGGACTACGAATCCGGGACTAAAGATCGCTAGTCCCGGTTGAAATAACCGGGACTACAAATACATCTTTAGTAAGATGGCAGCGCCAGTCCCAGTTGATCACCATGTTTTTCTTTTTTTTTCATTGTTTCTTTCCAAATCGAGTTGCTCCTTCCCAATCTCCCTATATATCCCAATCATATCCCCAAATCAAAGTATCATCACAAATCAATGAATCATAGATTCACATCACAAAAAAATACATCTCAAATTCTTAAAGAAATACATCACAAATCACATACATCATAGATTAAAACATCACAGATCCAAACATCAAATACATCATAGATCCAAACATCGCAGATCCAATGAATCACAAATTATCAGATCCAATGTATCAAAAATTCGAAAAAAAAAGAAAGAACATGTGCTGCCATTGCCGCCTCCCCTCCGGCAGAGGGGAGGGTGCCGCCGGCTGCCGGCTCCCGCCCCCCTCCCATCCGTCCACTGCCATGCTCCCTGCCACCCTCCGCGCGGCCACGCCGCCAGCCGCTGCCCGCCGACAGCCACCAGCAGCCACCAGCCACCAGCGGCGCCCTCCGCGCCGGCCGCCGCCGTCCCGCCCGGCCTCGGCCGCCTGGGCTTGCTCGGGTATAGGAGGAGGAGGAGATGGGGAGGGGGAGGAGAGGGGAAGGGGAGAAGGTCGGATCGGATCTGAGGAGGAGGCTGAGAGGGAGTTGTTTAATGAGAGGGAGGAGAGAGAGGAAGGGGGAGGGATAAGATCGATACTGGCACGCGCGCGGCTCGGGGTGGTTTTATTTTTGGTCCCTGTTGTTTATACCAACCGGGACTGAAGGTAATTGGGGCCTAAATTCGACCTGACAACTTTTTGAACCGGGACTAAAAATAATTTTTAGTTCCGGTTCCTATTTGAACCAAGACTATTGTAGTTTTTGGGCGACCGACCAAGGATGGTTTCTCCAGTAGTGGATTGATTTGCACGCGACGCACATAAACTGATATATATATCTAGAACATTAACCAAGATGATATTAGTTTGCACACTTCAAATTAAGTCTATTTCTTTAACTGCAAATTGTGGTGTTTGAAAAGGTACGTGGATTTAAATATGGCTATATTTTATGTATTAGAAATATTTTTGTTTGAATTATTGTGATATGAAGCATGGAGTAAATGTGTAGTATATGCCAAAATAGAAGAGAAAAAGAAATAAAGGCTAATAAATGAGGGTTACTGGTGGAGTTAAAGTCATTATTTGGGGTCTCAAGAAATAGAGGTGGCCCCTATTCAACCTTTGAGTACTTTAAAATAGGGGCTATTACTAGAGATGCTCTAAGTAAACCAATTTTTAAATGGGGTAATTGTATTCTTACCTCTACCTTCATATACAATTATGATTTTGCCCCTCTTTTTTAAGGTTTGTGTTTTTACCCTTATTTTTTTCAAATGAAGTGCCAGTTTGCCCCTACTATGTTAAGATGACTTAATGGTGTCAAGTCTGTTATAAAAAGACATGTTCGCCCTTTAACACTTGCCCATACTTTTCTATTTTAAAAGTTTCATATTTTTCTGTAACTTCTGGTGAGATATATCAATTGTTATTGTATTTCTCTAAGGGTATTTTTAAAAAGAAGGCCCAGCGTAATGGCATATTGTAGAACAACTGATAAAGTCATTGGTATATTATAGAAAAAGACAATGTCGAATAACTTATTGGTATAGAATAGATTCTCTCTAAAATAAATGATAATTACATAATTTTTTAGATAAAACAAATTTTAAAAAGTCAACGGTATCATATATTAAAAAATAGAGGGAGTAAGTACCAACAACGAATTAAAATAATAGTAATTGTGTGTTGGTAATTTGAGAAGTACTTCTTCCGTGTAAAAAATAAACCTAATATTCATCTAAATTTATAATAGTAGGATGTATCATATCATACTATTTTATTTTTTTACGAGACGAATGGAGTAGGAAAGACGAGTTGTTTTTTATGGGATTGAGGGAGTAGTCTCTAAAACCTAAATAGCATCCATGTCTGGACGTCCTACACAACAGCGTCCATTTGAGAGTGGGACAAGGGCTTCTCAGTTCTCACTGAATTAGCTAGGGCTGCCTCGTCTCTTATTCTTTGCAAGACTCCAGATCTTCGATGTATTGAATATTGCAACCACTTACAAGTAAAAATCTATTCTCTTTGTCCAAAAAACCAACCTCATACTACAATCCTAAAAAACCTAACCTTAGACTAGAATGAATCTGGACATACTCTATGTCTAGATTCGTGTGTTTTTTTTTGAACGGAGGAAGTTGCAGGGAGCCAGGGAGCATGACCTAATAAGCCTTGATTTTTTTTTGTTTCATTTCCTAACAAGAGCACCCTCGTGTTAACCACACTGCAAGGACGCCAATTAGCTGCTCGTCGCCTGCGGCTAAGGCCTCCGGTAATCACTGAAGCTACTGAGAATTTCTGTTTAGTGTGTAATACAACGTGGCAATCAAGCTCAAGATAGAAGAAAAGGAAAATAAGTGACAGGACGACGTGAAGAATACATGGGATTTAATTTAAAAAAATTTCAGTACCATCCACGCCAAAATTAAGGGTGTGTTTAGTTGCACGTTAAAATTAAAAGTTTGAAAAAATTAAAACGATGTGATGAAAAAGTTAAAAGTTTACTCTCTCCGTCCCAAAAAAAGATAACCTAGTACTATGATGTGACACATACTAATACAATGAATTTGGATATAGAGTATGTCCAGATTCATTATACTATAATATATCACATCGTAGTATGAGATTGAGTTTTTTTATAGAGGGAAGGGAGTATGTGTGTAGAAAAGTTCGATGTGACGAAAAAGTTGGAAGTTTGAAAAAAAAATTAGAATCTAAACAGGAACTAACCCAAAAACTTACTCGCGCCTCCTCTCGTGCGGAGGCGGGAGCAGAGATGCCGCCGCCGCCGCCGTTCCCGTCGCTGGACGCCTTCTACCTCCACCTCCTCCGCGCCTGCACCTCGCTGCGCCACGCCGCCGCCGTCCATGCCCACATCGCCCGCGCCCACCCGGCCGCCTCCCTTTTCCTCCGCAACACCCTCCTCGCCGCCTACTGCCGCCTCGGGGGCCCACTCCCCGCGCGCCGCCTGCTCGACGAAATGCCCCGCCGCAACGCCGTCTCCTTCAACCTCCTCATCGACGCCTACTCCCGGGAAGGGCTCGCGCCCCTCTCTCTGGAGACCCTCGCGCGGGCGCGGCGCGCGGGGGTCGACGTCGACCGGTTCTCGTACGCGGCCGCGCTCGCCGCGTGCTCGCGGGCGGGGCACCTGAGGGCCGGCAGGGCCGTGCACGCGCTGGCCATTCTTGATGGTCTCTCCAGCGGGGTGTTCGTCTCCAATTCGCTTGTCAGCATGTACTCCAAGTGCGGCGAGATGGGCGAGGCGAGGCGTGTGTTCGACGTTGCCGAGGAGAGGGATGATGTCTCCTGGAACTCGTTGGTCTCAGGGTATGTGCGCGCCGGCGCGCGCGAGGAGATGGTAAGGGTGTTTGCTATGATGCGCCGCGGTGGAATGGGTCTGAATTCATTTGCTCTTGGGAGTGTCATCAAGTGTTGCTCTGGCCGTGGAGATGGAACAATGGACATCGCTGAGGCAGTTCATGGATGTGTTATAAAGGCTGGGCTTGACTCTGATGTGTTTCTTGTGAGCGCCATGATTGACATGTATGCCAAGAAAGGTGCCTTAGTGGAAGCTGCCGCGCTCTTTCGGTCGGTGCAAGAGCCCAATGTGGTCATGTTCAACACTATGATTGCCGGTTTTTGTCGTACTGAGACTGTAATTGGTAAGGAAGTTGCAAGTGAAGCGCTAACTCTGTATTCAGAGGTGCAGAGTCGTGGAATGCAGCCTACTGAGTTCACATTCTCTAGTGTGTTACGGGCTTGCAACCTTGCTGGTTACCTTGAATTTGGAAAACAAATACATGGCCAAGTGATCAAGTACACTTTCCAGGAAGATGATTTCATCGGGAGTGCGCTTATTGACTTGTACTTCAACTCTGGCTGTATGGAAGATGGGTTTAGGTGCTTCAGATCCAGCCCCAAGCATGATATTGTTACCTGGACAGCAATGGTTTCTGGGTGTGTTCAAAATGAACTTCATGAGAAGGCTCTGAGTTTGTTTCATGAATCTTTAGGTGCTGGATTGAAACCGGATCTTTTTACTATATCTAGTGTGATGAATGCATGCGCAAGTTTAGCTGTTGCAAGGGCTGGTGAGCAGATCCAGTGCTTTGCCACGAAATCTGGTTTTGACCGGTTCACTGTCATGGGGAACTCTTGCGTGCATATGTATGCTAGATCAGGGGATGTTGATGCTGCAACTCGGAGGTTTCAGGAAATGGAATCACACGATGTTGTCTCTTGGTCTGCAGTGATATCATGCCATGCACAGCATGGTTGTGCAAGGGATGCTTTACATTTTTTTGATGAAATGGTGGATGCAAAGGTGGTGCCAAATGAGATCACTTTTCTTGGTGTCCTTACTGCCTGTAGCCATGGAGGATTGGTTGATGAGGGACTCAGGTAAGCCAATTGTCGTTTCTTGTCAGTTCATTATTTTCATTAGCAATACAACTTTATTTATCAAAAAGAAACAATATGTTAATGCATTTTTCAAGTTTTTGTGTTTGTGGGGTGCATGTAACCTCCTTACCAATAGTTATACTTTCTTCTCATATGTCACTTCCTTTGACATTCTCATGCAGGTATTATGAAACTATGACTAAGGATTATGGGTTGAGTCCAACCATAAAGCATTGCACTTGTGTTGTTGATCTCCTTGGACGAGCTGGGAGACTAGCTGATGCTGAGGCTTTTATAAGCAATTCAATCTTCCATGCTGACCCAGTCATTTGGCGGTCTTTGCTGGCCTCATGTCGAATTCATAGAGACCTGGAGAGAGGTCAACTTGTCGCGAATCGGATAATGGAACTAGAACCCACTTCGTCAGCGTCCTATGTAATTCTTTACAACATGTACCTGGATGCTGGGGAGCTCTCGTTGGCTTCAAAAACTAGGGATCTGATGAAACAGCGAGGTGTGAAGAAAGAACCTGGCCTGAGTTGGATAGAACTGAAGTGTGGAGTTCACTCTTTTGTTGCTGGTGACAAGTCTCATCCAGAGAGCAGTGCAATATACACAAAACTGGAAGAGATGCTTTCCAGGATCGAGAAGTTGGCGACCACTGATACTGAAATCTCTAAAAGGGAGCAAAATCTGATGAATTGCCATAGTGAAAAACTAGCTGTGGCATTAGGAATGATTCACTTGCCTCAGTCAGCACCTATAAGAGTAATGAAGAATCTGAGAGTTTGTCGTGATTGCCACTCAACAATGAAACTGATATCAAAGAGTGAAAACAGAGAGATCATATTGAGAGATCCAATTCGCTTCCATCACTTTAGAGATGGTTCATGTTCTTGCGCTGATTATTGGTAGTGACCCATACAATGGTTTATAAAGGAATTATTGGATTTTGTACTTTTCAGGCTGCCCCAGTAAGGAAATGGGACACTTGGGAAGCGTTGAATATGTTCAGAAGAGATGCTAATTGGTATCTGTCTTGGTTTCTGGAAAGAGGGCAATCAGCATAAACAATTATTTCTTGGGATCTACTTGACAACATGGATCATGTTTCTGTAATTAGAGACACCGATGATATATACTGTATTTGATCTGCAGCATTCTTTTGTTGTTATCTGACTATAGCTTACTAGAGTGATTAGCTCAACTAATGAAGCTTAGAGTGCTTTTGTAGTTTTGTACAGGCGAATGATACCTCAATGTTCTCTTTTTCCTGACTTGATTGTAGTTGTCCTAACATGCCGACCGTCAGTTTGCAAATGTTGTACGAATTGAAAACAGAGTTCGTTCTATAAACTTTATACGCACTTAATTCCCCTTCCATTTACATTTCACAGGATAACGAAAACTGATTGTTCAATGTGTGGAGCAAATGTTCTCCAAAAATGAAAAAAGTGTGGAGCAAATCTTCCTATATCATTGATAATAAAATAAAATGGAAGCAATATATCAAATCAGGGGATGTAGCTCAAATGGTAGAGCGCTCGCTTTGCATGCGAGAGGCACGGGGTTCGATCCCCCGCATCTCCATTTTCTTCACTTTTTTTTTCTTTTTTGTATTTTTTGCCCTTTGCATGAGCATGAAGCAGGTGGTCAACCAGCATACTGTCTTTCGTTTTCAAAAAATTAAAGGAGAACTGATTGAATTGATCAAATCCTGGTCCATCGTTGCAAATGTCTGCAGCTCATCGCAGAAAGGTCATTAAGTCGCAATCGGGCGATTAACTATATCACACTCCCAGACTTGTCAATCCTACCAATGTTCACAGGTCACAACGGTTGTGTTTCAGATTAAAAACGAAACGTATAGATTTTATCTCGATTTTCATTAGCACGTTTCAAACCACAAAACGTATATTTCAGGAAAAGTTTTTGCATATAAAAAGTTACTTTAACTACTTTTAAAATTATAATGATTAAAACTTAATTAATTATACGGTAATGTTTTTCGTGTGTGTTTGTGCGCCCTAACTTCATCTTTATTTTCATTAGAAATAAAAAGCCACATAATAGTATTACGCAAGTTCCCAAGAGCTTCCACCCGGCTTCCGCCGGAAGAGATGATTGGCAGGGCTCTCTCAATCACGACGGAAGTAGTATAAAATTTCGCAATAACGACGAAAGTATTAAACGGACAGAAGAAGTTGTAAAAACCGGGAAGAAACTTGCTTTCCAAGGAAGCTCTCACTGCACTGTTCTGTTCAGTAATCGGTCAAATTAAGCCACAGCTTTCAGGACAATGTACCATACTCATCTTTTTCGTTTATGCTTATACCTATCAACTAAAATTTAAATTTTTAAATTTAAATTTAAATTTAATTTTGAGATTTCTTTTCATCGTAGTTTTTTCCCATACTTTTATTTTAGATCGTTAAGAACATGTATATAAAAATTTTATTTATAAATTATTTTTCATCTGTAAATATATCGTTTTGCTTATTACTCTGATTAGCCAAACAATGGGGCTGGAAACAACGAGTAAAATTAATCAGCCAGATACTTGCACCTGCTCCGCTCTATCTCCGACGAAAGCAAGATCACGTGGTCAGATTATTTATTCTTTTAAGAAGATACTCTTTCCGCTGGACCTGTCCTTTTTTTTTATATTAACAAGGGCTGTGTTTAGTTCACGCTAAAATTAGAAGTTTGGTTGAAATTAGAACGATGTGATGGAAAAGTTTGAAGTTTGTGTGTGTAGGAAAGTTTTGATGTGATGGAAAAGTCAAAAGTTTAAAGAAAAACTTTGGAACTAAACACGGCGAAGGATAGAATTGAATTGCAATCTTCCCCTGGAAGACTGGAGCCACTCTCCTAGTCTCCTTACCCTATAAAATGGCCGTGTGACACATCCCAAATGCTACCAGTCTACCACAAAGCTCAAGAGCAGACAGAGCTGCAGCAGCAGCAGCACAAAGTGTCAGTGAGCTCAACTAAACTCTGATTAAGGGTGAAAGCATGGGTTTGTTATGCTGCATGTCGTCGCACGCCGAGGTGGTCGTCCCCAAGAAGCCCGGCGACTGTGACGACGACGACGATTGCAGCAAGCAGGAGTAGCAGAAGAAGGTGAAGCAGCAGGGGAGCAGCAAGGAGGAGGAGGGGAAGACGACGACGAAGGCGAAGGAGAAGGAGAAGAAGAAGATGAGCAACCTTGATGGCGCCGGCCTCGTGACGCCTCACTTCCCCTTCCATTTCCGGCCCGGCCTACTGTAATTCTGTAAAGATTTCATCATGCAGATTATGTTTTTGTAGCTTCTGTGGCAGATTAGGTGATGGTTAATCATATGGTTATGCTTCCGTAGTGTGTAATCTCTTCTTCTCCAGAAATTTACTTCCGCATATATTAACTCTGAATTGGCAGTTGTGTACTTGTGTGGGAGTTCTTTGGTTTTGTTGCCTTAATTACTGCAGCGAAGCTTTGTTTATGCTCTGCACGGTTCTTGTTTCCAATGATTGTTTGTCCAATCTACCTTTTCTTTAGAAAATACTACATCTTGATCTTTTTATGAATTTCCAAGACAAACCGTAAAACACATGAGGATGGTTTATTATTTAAAATAAAATTTAGGTAACACATGGAGAATTATACCATGCATGTTTCTGTCAAACAGCCCAGTCAAAACATCAAAGAGGGTCACAAAAATCCCGAAAGAGACAACCAATTGGCAAGGGGATAAGGTGAATTTGTTGGGAAGCAACCCTTGCCTAGCTAGCTACCAAGGAATTGGTGAATTTGTTGTAATACGTTCAAGCTCTTTTCATCGGTCAACAAGTCAACAGTGACCACATGCCAAGGGCGATACTGTCCTACCATGCATTCTGGACCTATGACAATGCACCCAGTGGTGATCGGGCCCACCTGCCAGCAAGTCTCTCTCACAAAGACGTCTCCTCCAAAATAGGAATATCAGGCAATGCACTGTGTTCGTTATGTGTGGACGTGTGGTTGGGAACTTTTTCTGTCCGCAGTTGGGAGCCTTTTTCTCTCCGCATGGAGAAGCTTGTTAGACCATGATTACACATGATTAATTAAGTATTAGCTTTATAAAGTTAAAATATAGATTAATATAATTTTATAAAAATAATTATACTACTCCATCCGTCCCCTAATATAAAGGATTTTGACATTTTGCTTGTACTGTTTAACCACTTGTTTTATTCAAAAAAATTTGTACAAAATATAAAAAACGAAAAGTTGTGTTAAAATACTTTCGATAATAAAGTAAGTCAAAAAATAAATAATAATTCTAAACTTTTTTGAATAAGACGAATGGTTAAACAGTGCAAGCAAAATGTCAAAAAAATCCCTTATATTTTTTTATCTCTTATATTAAGGGACGGAGGGAGTATTTAGTAGTTTAGAAAACGTGTGCGTAAAAAATGAAGGATTAGAAGTTGGGAAAATTGGAGAGAACTGAAACGTCAAAATCTTCCACTGCAAGTTTGGATCCAGTAATAAAAATTGTGTGGTTTTGTAAACCCACTGCTTTTCCAACACAGGCAAGAAAAGGCTGAGATGATATCTGTTGCCGGTGATTAAACAGCTGAGTTGACAAAAGGTGGCATTAGCAGTGCTAAGCATCACTGAACACTGATTAACTGTAATCCTAACAAAGATACAGTGACTGTAAGGTATGGGGGACAAAAATTCAAACATGAATCGTGTCCCGATGTACATTTTCTTTACAGAATTCACAGAGTGGATCCAATCATCCAAACAAGAAGCCAACTATTAACACAACCTATTGAACTAACATAAGCATGGAAGCTGCTACTTTCAACCTTTCTTCGTGTCATCCTCGGAAAAAAAAAACTTTCTGCATGCAAAATATTGGCACATCATTCAAGCGAACATTTCTCTAGCTCTTGAGGTTGCAGATCTCTGTTCCTTGTGGAGACGCCCAGTCTCATGCCGACGGAGACGAGAGTTTCCAGTGATCTGGCACTATTGGCCAGAAGATCAGCGTCAAATTCTATTGCATCCTGTCATGAAAAGAATGATACAATTTGAGAAATAGATAAGGTGCATGGAATTTGGATGTGTAGTCGAATTCGGCTAGATGTTTTAGTCAGCAGAAGCGAGAAATAGAAACCTTCTCAAAGACGCATATTACTGTGCTCCCTCCAAAAGCGAAATATCCAAACTGGGAGAAAATATCATGCATTAGATAATCTGTGGACACAAGCGGTACAGCTGTTGCATGAAACAACAAATGCGTAAAGAAAACCTCATCTCCTTTGTGGACGTAGTCACCCTCTTCTTTCAAGAACTCGATGCTTCCAACCATTGTTGCTCCAATGGCCACGAATGCCACCTGAACCATGTTATAAGCAAAGCAGTGCACAGTGAGCGGCGGCAAAGTTAAAGGCAGTGTTGTGTAATAAGGATTATATTGGAAATGTAAATATGACAAGGCCCAAGGCTGCTTTCACTTCACAGTGCATGGTTATACTTGGTGTGTTCGTGTAATTCGAACATGCGGTAAAACATTGAAGCTTTCAGCCAGAATGAAGGGGACATCCTTTTCAGTTAGTTTGTTTCGAAAAACAATAAGTATTCCAAAATTTCAGCATTATAATATATAAATGCCCCTAATGAAGTAGTTTTTTTAAAAAAAAACCTTTTTTTTTTTGGAAATCAACCGCATACTGATGTTTGACAAAAGAAACAGAGGAAGCGAGAGGCACGCAAAGCAGTAAGCTGGTACCTGGTAGTCTAGGGGGAAAAGAATAGAAGTACAAACCTTTCCAAACTCTGAAGTTGAGATTATTGAAACAACTCGTTTGTTCTCGGTGAAAACATTACAATATTTGCTGTTCACAGCAATAGGATTGACCTATCAAATTTAAAGATATTTGTGTCAGTCATTTAATGACGAGGAAGTGAGGAATGATGAACAGATCACATGACACAAGACATGGTCTCCACGAAGAGGCACAAAAGCATGCTAAGATGAGTATACTATACCGTGTACAAGCATCCAGGAATTTCCACAAATTTCTCCAAAGTTCCTGAGACGGGAACATGAAACCTATGGTAATCCTGCAAAGCACAGAATTTGAGTAGCAAAACTACAGAATGTCTTTTACAAAAGCGTGAGTCTTTTGGAAGCAAATAGTTTGCTCCATATTACAAAATAGCCTCCATAAACATGGAATGGCAAGGATATTAAAAGCTTACCTGAGGCGCAAGCCGAAAGATTACCAATGATCCGTTGCACAAAGCATCAGAGTGTACATCCTTCCCAAGGAGACCCTCGATAGAAAATTTGCGACCCTAGGAACAGAAAAGAAAAACTGCAATAAGACTTCAG